GATATTTGCGTGCAGGGGGGATGAGGGGGAGTGAGGGGGTGTATGTTTATGTATGTGATGTGTCTTATGAGTGATGGCACTTCTTCTTTGTTATTGTTTCTGTATACAAGTAATGTTTTCCTTATTATTTTTGTATTATTATCATTGTTCAGATCTATAGCTACACATACTAGAATACATATTCCAAGACATTCACAGATTCAACAAACAATCTACAAACAAGCGGTAATTACTATAAAATCCCTTTAAATCCCCACAAAGAGCTACAAGAAAATTTGCTTATACCCATTAAAAGACCCCTTCTCTACGCCCCATTTACTCCATTAAGTCAATATTCCATACATGTACTAATAACCCCCTCATTTACCATGCCAAATGTTATAAGGCTTTGAAGTGATATAGCCCCCAGGTAATATATGGTAGGTGGTCAGGTAATCTTACTTGTAATTCTAGTATAAATGATAGCCCCCTATACTAAATACTACTACTATAGTGCACTACCTCTAATTACAAGCTATTCCCATCTATTAGGTAGGTAAATTGTATACTTCGTCGTCGTTCCCTCGCCGTTGTACACTCCACCCTTACTTTCGCAAGTACATCTTATTACACCCTCAGAGCTATAATAAAATCCCAGCTATTTCCACTCCTCGATTCAAGTAAAACACGAAAAAATTATATATATATGTATGCTAAGTTCTCATAACGACGACGACGAGGTGGGTAGTGACAATAATATGTGGGTAGTGTGACGAGGCATCAAGGATACCTAGTAAGTAACCCACTGTAGAGTAGCGGAGGTCATGGGCCATGTCACTTTAAAGCCAGTTAACACTTTTTCAAAGCCGTGTGAGTATAACATTAGACTTTATCATCACTCACACCACAAGAGATTAAAGACATATTACTCGTAATCAGTATCCCCATATCTCACTCCCGCCTCGAGTCAGTTCATTTCCACCCCAATCACCCTATAGTACGAGTAATCAACCCCAATCACCTCAATCAACGAATCGACCGGAACCCGGAATTCCCACCACTACAGCCCTCCCTTCGTGTCCTCCTCCTATTGACCAAACTCCCCTCCATCCACACTTCAACAATAAACGTAAACAAAAATTCAATAGACCAGACTAGACCACACCAGAACCTTCCGAGTCATTCAATCAAAGCCGCCAAGACAC